CATTTTCATGCAGTTTAAAAGATGTAAAAATACTCTAAAAAAGCACCGATATGGCACTTGGGGAGCTGGTTTAGTGATGGACTTGGCAGAGCTGGAGAACTCAAAGATCTTGGAGCACTTTGCAAACCCAAATGATTGTTTGAAATGTGGATATCCTGCACAGATAGCATCACCTGCCAGTATTTAGATCACATCCTTCTGTGGATTATTTTCCAGGGCTGCGTTCCAGCACTCAAAGTCACATCAGCGTGGCCAAGCACATAAACCCTGGGATATTCCCATTTGGAAATATAATAAGAAAGCACGTGAAGGGAACATGAGGAAAAAACCTCACCCTACTATTCATAGCCCCTTTAAAAATGGTTTTGCCCWTGGCAGGCAGATTTTGTTGCCACTTTTTTGTCTTGTGTTTATTCATAGCTGCTGGCCAGGACACGGATTCTCGGAGATGTCATCTCAGGGGAGGGATGCAAAAATGGGTGTAAGTCCACCAGGATGGAGGAAAAGGGAGATTTGTTTAGCTGTGCCCTTGATTTCCCCACTGTCTGTGTGCCAGCAGCTCATCTCCTGAGTCCCTGGCTGCATGAGGGTGAATGATGACTCTGCAGATGTGCAAATACAGGGGGAACTCCATAACCCAGAGGCTGCAGAATGGTGGTGGAGAGCAGCTCTGTCACTCCCGTGCTTTAAAAAACCTTTTGAGACCCTTTTATTCCCCCTAAACCACCTGTTGTAGGGTCTCAGAGTTTCAGCTTACGGCTCTGTGGAAAACAATTTGGATCAAGGATGACAGTCAGAAAAGCACTGCTAGCAAATCCTTCTTCACTGGGATGCAGGCACAGGACACTCCTGGCACAGCCCTGCCGGCTGCAAACACCCCATTCCCACCACTGCAGGGTTTGGGTTCCTGCCATCCTGGGGATTTTCATCTTTCCACCGTAAGATAATAAATGACTTTAATTAAAACAGCAAGCTGAGGAAGGATTTTGTACTTGGTGGGCGATGTGATATTGCTCTGTACTGTAACACTGGCTCATTTTGGATGTCTTTATTGGCTTTGAGGCTGAGATGTGCCCTTGCTCTGGTCCTTTGTCTGTTTYCCAGCCTGAAAATGGGTACTTGAACACCAGCAGCTGCAGCCACAGCCCTGGTCAAACCGGGAGAGATTCTTGGGAATTAAAACGCGATCCTGACAGCCTTGAGAGAGACTGGAGATTGCTCCCTGGGTTGTCACAGTCTCTGTCCCTGTGGGGCTGTGTCAAGGTCTCCTGTGGCAGCACAAACCCTGTGWAATTCCATGCAGAGACCGTGGGATGTTGCACACTGTGGGAAGGAGGATGCTCAGCATCACAAGGAGGTACAAATATGCAACTCCTGCAGAGGCACAGCTCAGTGAGAGCTGGTGTGGAGATGTGAGTGAGCAGCACAGGCATCCACAGGGATCGGGATATCCACATAAAACACGTGCAGGACTGCATCCAGCAGTCCTTTAAGGTCTTTTCTGCGCCCTTGTGCCTGGATCAGGCTGTGTCTCCGTGTACACAGCAGATTCCCAGTCTGGGCACATACCAAGGAGCCATGGAAAGCCAGGAGTGAYTTGGTGGACACAATTCCAGCCCTGTTTCAGGTGTGAACTGAACCCTGCAGCTGGCACAGCTCAGTGGAGSTGGCTGGGGAGGTTTACACGGGCTCTGCTGAGCTCAGCTCACGTCACGGAGCTTCGGAGGAAACTGGGTGGGACTGGGACGTCACAGCCTGGGCTCCTTCACGTATTTCCTGCACTTTCCAGGCAGATAAGGAAGGCCTGGAGGCTCCCYGGGTGTTAACACAGAGCTGTCTGTAAGGAGGAGGGTGCTGGCGTGGTGGCAGCTGCCTGCCCAAGCAGGATCGGGAGCTCCGCGTTTCCCTGAGCGAAATTTAGCAGCGTTTAATTCCCTCACATGGATGAATTCACCAAAAAGGTGAGGAAAAGCTTAAAAGAAACCCCAAAACCATCCCAAATCTCCCCCAAAGCACACCACGGATGCATTTAATGCCTCTATGCCTCCAGCTCCCGAACCTGCTGAGCAATGCTTGTAAACATTGCTGTGTATGGGGAGAGCACTCTGCTCACGGCTTCTCTACGAGAAAAGCTTGTTCTTCCTTTGTTCCTTTTCTCATTTCTTCTCTGTCCTTTTCTAAAGGTTCCAGCTCTCTGTAAACTGATCTCCCTGATACTAATTCTATCTATTTACCCCAGATTTTTTATTCACCAAAACAAACAGCTCTCTGCTGTCCGAACCCTGCACCCGCACAGGAAAACTCTTAAAACAAACCCCCAAACCATCCTTGATCTCCCCCAAACCACACCACTGATGCATTTAATACCTCCAGCTCCCGAACCACAGCCGAGCAGATGTTTGTAAGCATCTCTGCGTACGGGGAGAGCACTTTGCTCACGAATTCTCTGCCGGAAAAAAAGCTCACCAAACACGGTCGGCAGAACCCAAACATCCTCCTGCCAGTGGGAAAACCCTTCCTTCGTGGGAGGGGCCGGCACACAGTTGAGGACTGTGCCGGGAAGCGGGCGGGAGCTGGGGATGCTGCCCGGGGAGAGCAGCGCTGTGGCTCTGAAGGCATTTTCAGAGCATTTGTGGCCGGGCACAGGGACCCCGTCGTTGTGGGTGGCACCAGGCAGGGCTTTGGTGACGCTGCACATCGGGACGGGCGGACGCGAACGGCTCACGGTCCAAAGTCAGCGGGGTGGGGATGGAAATGTTCCAACATTTCCTGGAGTACCCGGCTTGCGACTCTGCTGCTCGGAGGAAGAGGAGGAAGGTGCTCAGCCCCTCTCTTCCCCCTCTCCAAGCTTTTGCCGTCCCGACAGGAGTGAGGATCTCCAGCCCCACCGTGCCCAGGGGATGCTGTGCTGCTTTTCTGGCCAGGAAAGTAACACTATTTTTTTTTTTTTGTTTTTCTGTGCGGCAAAAGGTATAGAAATTAATGCAAGGAAATGAAATGCATCTGAATCAATGAAATACTGTGTTTATTTCCTGCCGGGCAGGGAAAAAAAAACCATCAGAAAACCAATCTTTGGCTTTCCTGAGGGTAAATTCATGTGAGTTTATACTTTGCTTTTTTACCTTTAGACTTCCCTGTCCCTTTCCTGATTTGCTCAGGTAATTTATTTCCAGTTCAGCTTGTCAGGCAGTAACTTCTGAAATTGCTGATCACTTGAAAGTGGGTATTGAAGTCCCAGTTTTTCTAGATACCAAACAGATAAAGGTAAGTTAAGTCCTACCTGATTAATCTCCAAAAGTGGTGAAAAGCTTAGGACAGGCTTCCTGTTAGGCAGGGTCTCCTCATGGCCTAGAGGAGCAGGAGGGATTGAGGCTGGTTTTCTGTCTCCCTGCAGGCGTTGGATCAGGGACAGCCAGGACAGTGTGTGGTTGCCATCCCAAGCTGAAGGGGAATGCCCATCTCTGCCTGCCTGCTGCGCCCTCCASCTGGCACCATCGCTGGGGGATGGCTTATCAGGTAACCTGTGACAAGTCTGAGATAACATTTACAGCAGAAGCAGCAGGGACACCTCCCTGGGCCCTGAGAGGTGCTGGGGCCAGGCAAGGAAATGTTCAGTCCACGAGTGTTAAAGCGGTGCCTCTCGCCAGGCCTTGGCTGTCCTGGCTGGCACTRGCATCGCTGTCCTCAGCTGCCCCTCACACAGACAGCAGGAGATGGAGTGTGAATGCTGAGGTTTCACAGGTTAACAAAGCGGTATTTCCTGTTTGTCAATCAGGTGAAGACCACAGAGCCCTTAAAATAGCACCGGGTGTGTTTCGGGTGTGTTTCATCGGCTGCACCCAGCTCCTGTCCTACAGCCGAGGTGCCGAGCACTGCACCTCTCCCATYCTTCTGTGGATCTCGGGGTTCTGCTGGGGAACATCAGAGGTGCAGAGCCCTTCCTCTGAGCACCATGGAGCCCCCAGCTCACAGCCAGAAGGTGTCCACCCCTCCTGACACGAAGATGGCAGAAGTTCTGAACGCCGAGTTAAAYACTGCTGTGAGGAACAGCAATAAAGAAGCCATGCTGGAGCTGCTGGAGCAAGGGGCAGATGTCAACTCCAAGGTGGAGAGCGGCTGGACACCCCTGCAGACTGCAGTGCAGGCTGGGAGGGAGGACCTGGTGCGGCTTCTGCTGGACAGGGGAGCTTGTGTGCGTGCCAGGAAGGACAATGGTGGCACTGCCTTTACCGAGGCAGGGATAATAGGAAACGTGGACATCCTGAAGCTCCTCCTGGAGCACGGGTCAGACATTAATGAAYGGGACTTCAATGGCTTCACAGCTTTCATGGAGGCTGCGTGGTACGGGAAGGTGGAAGCCTTGAGGTTCCTGTACAGCAGAGGAGCAGAGGTGAATTTGAGGAGGGTGACCAGCAATGARAAAGCCAAGCTGCACAAAGGAGGTGCCACAGCGCTGATGGACGCTTGCAGGGAGTGCCACTTCCCGGCCGTGAAAGTCCTGGTCCAGGAGATGGGGGCTGATGTGAACATCCGTGACAATAGGGACAGGAATGCCTTGATCCACGCTCTCAAGAAGGGCTCCAAAAAGAAAAGATATGAGTCGCTTGTCTCCATAGTTCGTTTCCTGCTGGAGAATGGTGTGGACGTGAAGAGCAAAGATGAATGTGGGAAAACTGCCCTCATCCTGGCTGTGGAAATGGAGAACCCGGAGCTGGTGACAGCTTTGTTGGAGAAGGATGAAATAGATATTGATGACGCAGATGAGGATGGCAACACAGCCCTGATGGTGGCTGTGGAGAGAAGCGATTGCAACATAGCAAAGCTGTTGTGTGAAAAGGGGGCGAGGACTGACGTGGGGAACCTTATTGCGGTTGCAAAGAGAAATCGTTCCCTTAGCATGGAAAACATTCTTCGGGAGCACAAGGCCACGTTTGTCCCAGAAACCCCCAGAGCCTGGGAGCCAAACAGCAAACGCTGGAGGGCCCAGCTGAAAGAGCTCGATCGAATGTATCGCCCCATGATTGGCAAACTGAAGACATTTCTGTACATCCAGCAGAGGATTCAGGATGGCATCTACCTCGGGCTCCACGGAGGGACAGAGGTGGCAGTGAGGGTAACCCGCAGTGCAGAYGGTGACAAAGAGAAAAGGTTCTTTGAGCAATGCTCTCAGTCTGAACATCTGCTGAAGCTCTTCCAGTCMGAGAAGGAAAAGGGTTGCGTGTACTTGTGCTTCCCACTGTGGGAGAAGAACCTCCAAGAACATCTGCAGGACCCTGAAGGCTGCAAGGATCACAAAGCTGTTCTGAAGATGATCTTCCAGGCACTGAGAGAGCTGCACTCCCTTGGATTTGCTCACCAGGATCTGCAGCCCGGGAACTTTGTAATAGGTTACATTTTGCTTTTTTTTGTGTTTGCATTTGGCTTTCCCTGCAATTTAGACAAGAAGGTGCCTCACAGCTGTGTAAAAATGCAGATGTCTTTGTGCTGGATGGGGTGGCTTTTGATCTCTTTAAAATCAGGTGTGTTCATAGAGAGAGCAGCCTTACACAGCTCTCTAGCTCTGCCCTCCTCCCCAGGGCTTTGYAAGCAGATCAACCCACCACAGATGCCTTCAGAGAACTGTTCTTTAAAGAAAGGGCCACCCAGAAGTCAGTGATAGACTGTGTGAAGATTTTYCACCTTTATTTGTTAACAATTTCTCTTATTTCCTCAGATTTAGGTGGCAAAATTTACCTGGCAGACTTTGGTAATAAAAGAAGGTTGATCAAAGGCCAAGAAGAACTTGTAAACTCAGATTTAAAGGCAAGTTCTCTGTGTATCAACCCAAAATTTTTGGTTCTCTCTGATACTTTCTGTTGCTGTGGGTCCTAGAGAAAGTCTTTTTGCATCCCCAGCTAGAGAATGCCTTGATTTGTGGGAAAATCAATGAAATGACAGATATTGCATAAGAGTGATGGTGATTTGGGCGCCCATCTCCTCTGTTCTTGTGCACATAACTTTGAGTTTTGTCTTGGTGTGGATTTTACACTTCTGGGCACCTCCAGGGTGTAGGGATATGAGTCCTCTTCCATGGGGTTGGAAGTTGGGTGCTGCTGTGGATTTTACACTTTTGGGCACCTGCAGGGTTTAGGGATACAAGTCCTCTTCCACAGGGTTGGAGTTTGAGTGATGGTGTGGATTTTACACTTTGGGGTACCTGCAGGGTTTAGGGATATGAGTCCACTTCCACGGGGTTGGAAGTCGGGTGCTGCTGTGGATTTTGTGGGTGCTGCAGGCACTTTTGGGTGCCTGCAGGGTGTAGGGATACGAGTCCTCTTCCATG